AAATAGTAAACTTAGGCCAGAGAAAACTGGGAGAAACAGGAATGACATAGAGATCTATACAGAACGCATAGCATAGAAGAACGCATGGCGAAAACAAGATGATATGCCCTGATGCCACTGTGTTGGCAAAAGGTGCTAATCATCGTCAAAGTCGTCGGAGGAGCAGACAGCAGAAAACTGTAAGTGCTCAAGACAGCTGGGCGAAGCTAACAAGCGTTGGATACAAATTATTCCAGAAGCAAATCTGGCAAGAAGCTGGTTGATAGTGTGTTCATCTCAGGCCTAATGAGATGAGGGTTGGCATTTTGTCACGAGTGCATTAGTTAATTCAAGATAAACGGCCAGAAGCAAGAATTACACCCGTAAACTTAGACGCAGAGAAAACGTGGGAGAAAGCGAGGAAGACATAGAGCAAATCTATCACAGAACCATAGCATATAAGAACCTATGCGAAAACAGATGATATCCCTGAATGCCTTCGTGTTGGGCAAAAGTGCTAAACATCGTCAAAGGTCCGTCTGGAGCACGAGAAGAGCAGAAAACAGTGATTGCTCAAAGACAGTTTGGGCAAGAGCAACAAGAGTTAGAACAATATTGATTCAGAACAAATCTGCAAAGAACTGCTGATAGTGTTTCATCTCAGCCTAATGAGAGATGAAGGGTTGGCATTTGGTACAGTGCATTATTAATTCAAGATAAAATCCAGAGCAAGAATTAAAAGAAACTTAGCCAGAGAAAACTGGGAAGAAACAGGAAAGAAGCATAAACAAATCTTATAGCAGAACCATAGTATGGAATACACACAAAGGGCGGGTGATATCCCTGATACACTTTGTGTGGGGCAAAAGTGGCTAAACATCGTCAAAGTCGTCTGGAGCAAGAGAGAGCGAAAACCAGTGCTTGCTCCAAGACAGCTGGGCGAAGCAACAAGAGTTTGGAACAAATTATTCAGGAACAAACTGGCAAGAAACTGATGAATAGTCGTGTTCATCTGCAGGCCTAACTGAAGATGACAGGGTTGGCATTTGGTACCAGTGCATTGTTGATTTTTTCAAGATAAAACTCAAAAGCAAGCAATTAAAAGTAAACTAGCGCAGAGAAAAATCTGGAAGAAACAGGAAAACATAAACAATCTATACAGCACCATAGTATGAATCACACAAAGGCAGATGATATGCTGCTGATGGACTCTGTGTTAGGCAAAGTGCTAAACATCGTCAAAAGTCCATCTGGAGGAAGAGACAGCAGAAACTGTAAGTGGCTCAAGATAGCTGGGCGAAGCAAAAAGTTGGAGGCGAATCAATTCAGAGCGAAATTGGGCAAGAGCTGATTTTATTTTGCCACCTCCAGCCCCATGAAGGCGTTTGGCACTTGGTAGCAAGTGCTACGGTTAATTCAAATAAGATACCAGAAAAAGGAATTAAAATTTAGATTGGCAAGGGATAAGCCGGGAGAACCAGCAATGATATAAAGTAGAAGCATTGGAAGAAAACCACCTCAAACGAAAAACTGATACCCGCGCCTGGTTTTGGTAAGAATGAGGAAGGCCTACCAATGCGGTAGCAGCTGAAGGCAGGCTTCTACAGGAGATTACTCGAAGGCAAGAGTTAAAAAACAGCAGTTGAACTGTCGGAAACGGAGCGAGAAGTTGGGCAAGCTGCCTCTACATAATTGAGGCTATGATGACTGTGCCATGCAAAATAGTAGCTGTGGAGTAATTAGTCTAACACATGCTCAAGAAATGCTAGTTAGAAATTGTCTTATATTTAGTAAAAATAATTAAAATTAAAAATTTTAGATATAGAAGTTGATATTTACTTAGTTACAGAATGTGCTTATCTTATATTTCCCAGCATAACTACTGTGTGCAACAGGATGAATTATGACATGCAGTCATTTATTCTGAGCACCAATAACTTTTTAATTATATAAGAATTTTATTGTGTGTTTAATTGTGTACATTGCGACAGTAACGATCACTCAGAGGAGTATCTTATAATGTTATAACTGGCATCGGCATTAGCTGCTTGGCTTACTTTTGTGGTTTTTGATGTATGTGATGAATGTTATCATATAATAATTGTAATTTTTCGCTACATGATGTAAATTGCTGTAAGTTAGCTTTCTTACTTTCGGTTATGCTTGTTTCTCATTCTCATTTTTTTTATTCTATGCTTTCGTTTTCTTTATTTCTTTGCTTTTCTTTCCAAATACCGTAGACGCCAATTTTCTTTGTAAGGTACACACCTTTCACGTTCCACCTTAACAGAACGCTATATATCTACATATATGACAGATTCCTTCTATTTGTTTGTTCATCTGCTAGTCGATATTCTCAGCAGCTCCTACTTGCTTTACCGTATGTTTGGCTCCCATATCTTTGAAAGTGGGCTGATCACTTTCATGCTTCTAGATTTGCCTCTTTTCTTCTGTTGGTGGCTCTTATCAATTTAGTTTTTTTTAAGATAAGTTGATATCTGTGTGTAATGTTATGTTGTGTTGAAATAAATGTTGGATTACTATATTCTCCATTAAAATATTACATGATATTTTTACAATATGTGTTGGTGCATATATTTTAAAATGTTGTGTTTGGTATTTTGAGTCCTAGCCGGATGCATTCTTGTGTGGTTATGCTATGACATGTTTCCACATGAAAGCTCAAGTAAAAGATACTCCTGCATGGCTATTTTAAAAGTACATTATATTTTTTTTTTCTCTTTTAAGTATAATCTTAGCTAAGTTGTGTCAGAGAGCTCAACAAGCGATTGAAATTGCAAAATTCATATATATTGGGGCAGTCGAATTTATGAATCATTCTTTCTGGTAATGCCCTGTACACCCTGTTAATGGCTGAGAGGGTCTATGTCCGCCGCAGGTAACTGCGGAACGTACGCCTGGTACTAAATACTACTTATCTAATATGCCGGACCGTACCTCAGCCTACTCCATTAACGAGTGTACGGGATCGGCGGCTACACGCCTACTCCGCTAAACCCGCTATACCCTACCCCACTAACACTAACGCTAACCTGAACCATTATCACGCTAGATAGTTACCAGGGTACGTTCGGCGGTATACCGGAGCCGTACCAGGGTAGTCGTTCTGGCTAGTACCCCTGGGGACACTAGGACCCTATGAGTGCGGCCTGTTATGGCTACTCCACTGCTTTCTCTTTGCTGTCTCTCGACCAGCGTGAAAGGTGATCTATAGATGCATTTCTGTGATGGCTGCAGCCGCTGTGCATGCGCGGCTTTCCACCGTGTTGTGCAATATGTCAGGTGTTAAGATTATTAAGGGAGCCTAATAATCGCTTGTTCTCTCATGATCATGCGTGGCTTAGATTTTGGTCTCCATCCCACAATCATGTAGTACGCGCGTGTGGACACTGTTAAGCACATGAGGCATTCACGATAGGTAGGGTTGATCTGCGTGCGTTAAGTTGTTACCTACTCTGGCAGCACAAAGTAATGCATGCGTAGTGCGTGTGACTATGAAAGTGCCAATGCTGGTGTGGTATAATATCGCAAGCGTCAATTATTCAGCATCTAGTTGCGCTAGGTAACAGTTGTCACGCCACAAGGCCATCGGCTGTCACCAAACAAATCAGTACCAGAGGCCATATTGCCACAGCAGGTTGGTGTTTTCATTGATCGCTCTTTATGGTTGGACGTAAGGATACGTTAGAAAAGACATTACAAAGGTCGACGAATATCATATATCTGCTACTCGTGTAAGTGTGTTGTTTTCGTCAGTGTTCACTTCACTGCTGTTGTTTCTGTGCATTGCTGACAATTATATCACAGATCAATGCTTTCTGGTCGAAATCTGGAATGGCTTCCATTAGCGTATCCTGTCTGGACAACGTGCGACCTGACTGTGCATCTCTCTCTGTACTGCTTTTCTAAACGTATCCTTGGGTACCTGTTGTATTACGCATAGAAAATAATGTATCTGCATGCAGGGCAGAGCATATATGTCTAGTATTAATAAACCTGTTCCGCTTGCAGGATTATATTATAGTATCTAGATGTATTCATAATGTGACCCGCTCCAGCAAATACCAGGATTAAGTAGAAAAATTCTACAAATTGAGTTATGTGCATATCTGAATAGATCATTTAATTACCTTTAAAATGATATATAATATTTGGCTATATCTAAAGAATTTGACCGCTCTACAGCAATTTGACAGATCGGGAAACCGACTTATTCCGGAATATATGCAGCTTTTGAGATAAAGCGTTCCGGGTAAGGGGCCCAGTCGGGGATAAGCGGTCAGGGACGGGTCTGAAGAGATTTTTTTTTGTTAATTAAAAATGACCATAATAATCTAGAGATATCTGAACTATATATCCGGATTAAATATGCGCTTAGGAACTTATTTTTTGCTAAAATCTCATTTCTTGTCCAGGTAGGCCATTTTCGCAGCATTGACATGTGTGCGTGCTCATTACTCAAAACAATGACTTGCGACTTAGTCCGTATTATGCTGGAGCGGGTCACATATACTAACAAGAAAGGTCAGCCATCTGTTGTTTGTTCCTAAATATGACCTAGTTTATTATGAATTGATTTGGTAGCTCACACCACATCACATTACAGTGATTAAAACGATCAGTCATCTGGTGTTATCTATCTTATACCATATGTGTTTGTCTCTGCATGAAATTTAAAAACTTGATGGGTGGCAAAAGTAATGTTAATATCATGGAGTAGATAAAGGCATATTTTGATGCGAAATTAGAATTTGTCAATAACTAATCAAATTCATGTCATGAATGTTGGGTTTTCATTTCGCTGTCACTCGGCCAATTTGCATGAATGTTTAGTAGCACCAATTTAATATATATATATATATTATATATATATATCAGCGAGTAGATAATATGGAACTACTATTATCTACTCCTGATATATATATATACATATATATTTATTTATTTAAATAAATGTAAATATATGAATTTTCTTAATTCTATGACATTTGTCGTTTCAGGGCTTCACCATTAAACCTCAAGAGATGAGGCGGCCGAACAAGAGTACGCCCCCTGGTGGGGGTTCAGACATTGGCTGGTTGAAGTTGGGAGAGTATGAGGAGAAGAGACGCAGGCTAGCCGAGGAGCGAAAGCGTGAATACAATGAAATGCTGGCACAGGTAACTTTGATGTACATTTATGGTCTGTCTTGTATCTACATATGACAGAATGCAGGTCATGATTGATATATAGCATCTAATTTCCGACTGAAATGCACGTGTATAAATATTTGTCAGTGTTTTGTTTTAATGACCAGCAAACTGAATCAGTGAAAATCGTATATTACATGATGAAGGGGTAATGTGGAATAACTTCCCTGATGTCACTTGCTTGATGAACTTTCCTGTGTGGTATTGTTACGATGGCTCTTTGCTAGCAATGAACTGTGGTCCTCGTTTTGGGGTTGAAATTGAATGTCCAGTAGTTATTGCCGTAGTAACTCATGTTCTCTCATTTCTGCTTGCTGACTGTGTTTGTAGTAATTATCAAAGTAAAAATTCCCCTTCCTAATTAGTACTAAATGTTGAACTATCATGATAGTGTTAGATGTCAGAATTATCATTTTTGCATGGCTATGTAGCTCATATTAACATTCCTATTCTGTTTTATCCATTAATAACAGAAGCACCAACAGGGTCTTCGGAAGCGGCCCGATGCCGTTTCACAGCATGTAAATGAATCACAGCAGAGTTCTCCCATCCAAGCGGAAATGCAAATGGCTGCCGCCGGAGCGGCGACGAGCCAGGATAGCCACTCTCGTAGGGTGGATGAATACGGAGGAGAGAGGTCAATGTCGCTCACAGAGGGGCCCCTGCCAGGGTTGCGGGACACTAGGAGCGGAGAAGTGCGCAAGCGGGAGGCACGTAACAGAGAGTACAATGACTACTTGCAGCAGAAGAAGTTGGCAAGTCGGAGCATTGGAGAGCAGCAGGCACCTAGAGTTGGCAATGCCCAGCAGGTGGCGCCAGCTGCACAGGTGAAGAATTCTCTCATGCTCGTGTTACTACGGTTTGCAACTAGCAATGCAACGTTAACTGTTCTAGACTAACATAATTAATGCCGGTGTTTAGGTTCATTTGCCCTCAATGCAGAAAAGCTGAAAAAGGGCTGTACCACTGATCTCTATATACTAACTGGATGGCAGTTAGCCAATCCATGGTACGGTACTTGAGAAAGTGACGCCGCCGTGCCACCACTGCCTTCTTGCCACCACTCCCAAAAGCTGATCTCTGTCGGTGTGCGCTCCACAACATTTCAATTGGACAATGACGAATTGCAGCTTATTTTATCATTTTTATTCGCATGAAAACAAACTTTGATAAATACATGACTGAATATATATATTTATATAGATAGATGGATAGATTTATATATATACAACGAGAGAAAGAGAAATAATGATAGTCTATACGTAAAGGTTTTGGAAGGGACGTCACTGATCACATGAAAATTCGGCTCAGCCTATTGGCTTGACTAGTTCGTGGAGTGCTGTTATGGTGTCTGGTGGCTAAACCCATTGACCATTAAGAGCTATCAAGTTAATCTATTGAGATCAGTGGGCACACGACAAACAAACAACAGTGGGCTGTACCCACTGGCAGCAGTAATTTACGCACAGACGGGATATAACTTTGAAATCACACCTGATTTTTCGGCTTCGACCTATCTGTGTGAACATGTAGTGTTGGTGTTTTTTTTAACATTCATAAGGTCCATGGTGAGGAATGTTTTTGGCATTCTGGTTATTTGCATGCATAGGTAGGTCATTCGATCGGCTCACCACAGGTTCGCAAAGGGTGGGGCACACCCGTACAAGCCTACACAACATATGAGGATATTCTGGCTCAGAAGAAAGAAGAAGAAAGGCAATATAGGTATAAGTACAGATCGAATATGCAGTACCCATATATTATGACTGTGCCGGTAGAATGTACAATGGGTATGCGTAGACCACTGATACTAGTTAATCGCCATTTCATTTAATGCTAGTTGCAGTGTCTAATTATGTTAAGAGTATAGGCTGTGTAAGATATAGTGCATGGTATGATGTAAATGTTTATAACACTAACATAGAAATAAAGGTTGCACAGATTTACAGGCACAGTTACATGTTGAATTGCATGGTAATAATAGCCTGTAATTGTAAAGTACTCTTTATAAGGGTCAGTCTGGTGAACCCTAAAAAGTACTAGTGTACTTTACAGACAGGCATTCGTTTAGGCAGTTTTGCTGTAAAACTGCCACTTAAAGGAACCCACCGAATAGTATCTTTTATAGCCAGGAGTTGATTCTAGAGATGTGACCCCCTAATTTAGGTTGGAGTGTACGTTACTTGGCATGTGTTGCTTGTGCATCTGCTCATTGTCAGAATTAATTCCAGGAGATACATTGACGATGTGCCTGATGACTTGCCTCCACAGCAACCCCTGCGGCCTCCACAGCCAAACATCGACTCGGAACTAGAACATCTAAAGTATGTAAAAGTAACAATAAGTATAAACAGTAATACCCAAAATTATGTAAATTTGTTAATGTAAATTTTTACTCAATTTGTAAATTATGACCACAACTATGAAGGAGAAATGCTAATTCGCTCTTACAGATGTCAAAAGATTAATTGGATTATTTGTAACAAAAAAATATCACATTAGATAGTTTGATTCGCACGTGCACTTTTTTATGAAATATTAGAATTAGAATTAAATTAGAATTAATTATATTTTATCATAACAAAAACAAGTAGCAGTATCAAGCATACATCCAAATAGGATATAAAATTAAACAGATGACCTGAATAAGGCCCTGGCTAGACCCACTACGTTGGTAGTTCTCTGGGTTAGTTTCTGGAGTTTGGTGAAAATAGTTGGTGGCATCATCTTAATGATGAATGAGATATATGCAAGTAAGGAGAAACGTTGCTCTTATCATACTATAACAGTCTCATTGGCTTAACTAGTTGACTTAGAGTGATGGTTATCCTGTAGGAGGGTACGTCTAGAGGAGATAGACGTTCCCATGTCTGACCCAACGAGTGAGCTGATGAGACAAGGCAGGCAGATGGCTGAGCAGGAGGAGATACACAGATATGTAAGTCGCAGTGTGCCTATAGTTCTGATGCACATACGGACACCCCACAGCCCACCTACATCCACACTAACTGAGCTTTAAAATGGAAAATTCTCGTTCATTCAAAACTACCATGTATGTTGTCAGTACACAGAATTTGAATATGCATTGTTGCTGTCTTAACACCTAGCTGCCATTACACATATATTTGTATGCAGATGTAAAACAACAATGAGAAAATGTTTGGTGTAATAAAGAAAAGATATATTCAATTTTTCATTATTTAACCGTGTGTCCTTCTCTTTTTCCGACCACTTGGCAGCTGACTGAAATACAGGTAGGTGGTGCTGGCATTTAAGTTGCGCACCTAGCATTATGCGCTAGTAGCAGCACTAATGTAACAAGCAGCACAAAACACATATAGCACTTGCCTCGCTGTCAATCTTACATGTTCTATTTCATTTCCATGCTTAGAACATGTCACGGGACGTGGATTTGTCCAACGCTGGGGGTGCCACGATGGCGACGGCGGCAGTTTCCAGGTTTGTAGAAGCAGAATAAGTATTGACATTTTTCAAACTAAATGCCATCTATATGGTAGAGCCATATGTTAGTGTCACATTTGTTAGAGCTCTTTTGCAGAGTGGTATTCCACTATAGGCAAACCTGATATAAGGATCAATTAAAGGAAACCCCAAAGCTGTCATCAATGGACAGGTTCTGGTTCTATAGAGATGGAAAACCTGTATAACTGCCACTCAAGGAAGATGCCACGGGTCTATGTCCTTTCTAGACAGGTGTCCATTTTATAAATATGTCCGCTAGTTAACACTGGTTTCCCCCGTATCCCAGAAGTCGTTGCTAATTACTTTCTGCGTTATCTAACAGGTTCAGGGAGACACCGTCCCCACCACCTATACCGAGACTTGATCCTATCGTCTACCCGAGTGCTGACCCTATGAGGACTTACCTTGCTACAGATGATAGTTTGCCCATCAGGACAGATCACGTAACGTAAGCAAGTTAACTTGTGACATATTGTCTTATTTCTTCTCCTGGGAGGACTATCATACTCTATTTGCAGTTCACGCTGTTCCTCACTTGCGTTCAGGCAGAGTTTGACGTCACGTGTTCATGTAACGATGAAAATCTCGTATTGTGATAGACGCAGCAAATGTTACGTTTCTTGTATCTTGGTGATTTCAATGTCTCATAAGTATTGCGATAAGTAATGCGATTGTTCATGTTGCAGGAGACGATTTGATGACCGGTACGCGCCAAGCTTTCAGGACAATGTATCACGCCCTTCCCCCTTACTACAGGCATTGCAGATGCGTCAGAATGGGTATAGGACATTTTCTTATTAATGATTTTATATTTTTATTGCAAATGCAAAAAAGTATGTATGTATTATATATGTGTGTGTGTGTGTGTGCATGCGTGCATGTGTGCGTGCGTCCGTGCGTGCGTGCATGTGTGCGTGCGTCCGTGCGTGCGTGCATGTGTGCGTGCGTCCGTGCGAGTGCTTGTGCATGTGCGTGTGTGTAGAACATAAATAATGATGTTTATTTATTCAAACTAACTAACTTTTCGACCATCTGATCTTGATGACAGTTCACATACACAGTACACATCTATTTAAATATCTGTTATAGATATGTTCATGTGTATATTAGTTTCTTTTTGGCATACCGCATAACCAAATTTAGCAAGACCAATCAATCCATATGTTCCTATGTATTGTATTGCTGAGTGACTGAACATTTTACCTGTATTGCAGTGTGCGTGGTGGCGATGGCTCCTTTGACAAAACATCGTTCATGTCTGGTGCTAGTGCTGTAGGAAAAGGTGCTGTGCATGGAATGCAGCATATGCATACAGGTGCCTTATATGGAGTGAGCGAACGCAATGTCAACAAGGTGGATGCTGCAAAGATATATCAGGAAGAACTAAAACAACAGGTATATATATGTGTTTACACATACAATCACACACACATGCACATACACGTACGCACGCATGCATGCATGCACTCACACACGTATGCACACACATATACACATGGGTGCGTGCACATATGCGAGCACACACACACACACACACACACACACATATAAACTGGTAGAAACGATCACTATGTCAATATGTGTGTGATGCATGTGTAATGTGCATGTACATGTACATGCTGGTATGTAAGAATATGGTGCAGCACATTCAACAAATGCATGCATGCACACATGCATGCACACACAAAATATTTAAGTTTTTGATGTAAATCTCTACAGATAAGGCAAAAGGACCTGCAGAAGCGGAAAGCAAAAGAGGAGGAGGAGAGGCAGAACCTCCATGCTGGAAACCAAGTTTTTGACCCGTTTGGAAAAGGTGGTGCCGGTGCTCCCCTGCGTGACGCTCAAGGCAATGTTCAGGGTAGGCGGATGAGTGGCCATCTTGCATTGATCATTTTTTTCTTTAATCACATGTTTATACATACACAGTATTTTAACATATACAGTATGATTGAAGTATGGATTCTCAGTCCTGGTTCTTACTTGCAAGTGTTGGCAGGTAGCTTGCCAGAAATGTGCCTACATCTGTGGTTGTGGCCAGAACTAGGAGCTTACAAACAGAAAGCCTTTGAGGTTTACAGAAAAGATCGAGAGCATTTGTTGTACATAGACAATATTGTCATTTACATTAGACATCCTGGAATAAATATGGAGGGATGTTTTCTTCTGGGCATCAGCGATAATGGCAGATTCTCATGGGAGTGCAAAATGTCTATAAGATGGTGTCATAGTGATATTTGTTGTTGCAGCTGATCTGAGGAGAAAACCTCAGGATGGTACCGGTGGGCTCCATCAGCCACCAAACGTTAAACCACTAACAAGTAAGCCAGTCTGCTATAAGTGCACGCACATACATGAACACACGCACTCATGTGCATACGCATGCACGTACACAATAATTGCACATTTCATTAACTTACAAATGAACTTATATCGATCACATAGTTATGCCAAGCACTACCTGAGAGTTTTTGTCTTCTAGGTAGCAGTGCTTCAAAGCTGAAGTTTTCGGCTGATATGAAACCAGCGTTTAACATCGCAGGCTCTGTTGGGGGTAAAGGAGGAACTGGTGCTCAGTTTGAAGAATCAGCAGCTGCTGTAAGCAATCATAATTTGAGACATATTTTTAAGCATTCTAGAGTGTCGATCGTGTTAAGAATAATGTACGAGCTCATATGGCAATCAGGCACTTTTCCAAAAATACTTGAAAAAGTAAAGCTTGAAAATATACAGGAGAGGACTTCATTAGGGTCAGGGTAGATATCAGGTTCTCAATATTAGCTCCCTTAAAGCTAAGAGAGCTATATATACCCAGATAAATCCAAGATAGCTTTTAACTATCCGAAATGGTTACTATTATCTATGATTTTGTATATGATGAATCTAATATGGGTTTACGTTTATTCGCAGGGAAAAGATGACATGGCTAGATACAGGAATGACCAGTACAAAGAAGAACTTAAGAAACAGGTTACATATATTATTTTGTAAAGTTTTTGAAATGTGCAAATCTTTTATATAGTTTATTGTTGATATCTAATATATACATCACATCAATAATTCAGCTGTGAGGAACACTTTTAAATACGTTTCCGTAGTGAATCTATGATGTGTTTAGATTTTTTTCAACATATTCAGTTTTCCAATAACACTTTATCACTTCATCGACTATCATCATTATTATTGCGTGCCCTTTCATTATTACGTCTTCTTATTATCTGTGTGAAAAGGGAATAGGTGGATTCGAACAATTTAATAGTTATAACAACATTTGTTATGTGTGATATCTTGCTCTTGACTGCTGTTATATGCTGATCGGCACAGATCGAAGAGAAGAAGCGGCTGAAGGAGCAGGAGAATGAGCGAAGGAGGAGGCAGGAGGAGGTGGCAGAGAGACGCATACAGGAGCAGCAAGCAAAGATGCAGCAGGAGCAGGAGGCAGACGAGCTAAAGGCTAAGGAGAATGAAGCTGAGGTAGGCTCGAGTGAGTGGCAGAGAGGCATTGCCTTAGTTGTTTTCGTTACTTATTCTAAGCTGAGTATATGGTTATAGTATATATTACCTTATATTGGTTATTGCTGTACCCTTCCTAGGTTGAGTATAGACTTTAGTTAGAATTATACTGGGTTGGGTATAAGTTACTAGAGATCCTAACCCTATTCACGGTTTTACTGGAATGAGTATTCATATATCATTACTTTCAGATTGTTCTGGGTTGGGTATTAGTAGATTAGATTACCTTTCGTCAAGATTTTCTAGATTAGGAATCGGTAGAAAGCATAATCAAGTTTTAATGCTCTGCTCCGCTGTGAATTCCCTATCATACTCTCACAGAGGAGAAGAAAGAACCAGGAGATCGTGGCAGCAGCTGAAGTGAAGAGGCTGGAGGTGGAGAAGCAGAAGCGAGAAGCCAAGTTGAAGGACGAGGAACGGCAGAGAGCGCAGCAGGAGAAGGAATGGGCAAGCCGCAATGTGGTAAGTACAGGTAGTCACCATTTCAGGTGTGATGTGTGCCGTGCTGAAAATAATTATTCACTTCATGATTTCTTAGATGTTGGTCACTCTTGTCAATTTCTCAACAATACTTAGTCACGTGGTGATCGCAAAGCTGTGGGAAAGAAAGCGATTTTTTTATCATCTTTTATCATCGGTATTTTGCTGTCATGCTGTCTAGACTTGCTAAAGGCAGTCCCTAGTGCGATGTAAGAACGTTAACTTATTGTTGTAACTAGCTGCTGTGAACCAAGAGTAGATTTCGGTTGTCAATTTAAAAAAAAGTTTAAGTTAGTACGTAGTTTAAGTAAAAGCAGCAATTTTCTCATTATTTTTACCCCTTGTGGTATCTGCTGTTTATACTTCCAGGTGACACAACGGTCAGTCTCTCCTGTCATACCAGCGCTGCGGAGAAACACGAAAACCGGTGCTGCTGTTAAAGCCAAGCTGGTAAGCGAGTGGGACCAGGGCATGAATGAGGGTTGTAAAGAGCTAGGGAGCTAGTCCAAGGGTAGATCTTGGGGTAAGGGTAAAGTGAGAAGGGTGGTTATATACTAGGATTCTGAAACATTGGAAGAAAGCACCTGGGGGTGGGTGAAAGAAAGTTGTTAAACAGCTATGGTTCCAATACTGGCACAATCTTTACAGTGGAGGCAGGGCGGTAAAGAGCTTCATTTGAGCCTGATCAATGTCTATAAATGAATAAACTCATAGCTGTTATGTGATATTGCTTATAGAAAATTACCACTTACAAAAATCTATAAGCCCAAAAAGGTATATAATTAGTGGTTTATCAGTTCTAAAAAAACGGTGTTTGCCCTATAAAAAACTACGTATATAGCAAATGTGAATGCGTGCAGTAATAAAAATGCTCTAGGTTAAAACAACATTAGGAATATGAATTTTGATTGCAAGGTTAGCAGAGTGGGTCTTTTGAATTTTTAACGTTTTTAGTGGTGATTATTTTATGGTAAACACTCACAATGCTATATTGCTAACTCTCCCAGAATAGAATCATTCTGTGCTAACTAGCTGTGCATTGTCTTAATCTTTCTGTATTAAAGTTCTTGCCTTGTCTACAATACGTTTATTCCATCTCTCTATCTGTATATATATATATATGAGTGTATAATATTGAGACATATCTCTCTCTATATATATATATATATATATATATATATATATATATATATATATATATCCCAATACATGCCATCTATATCTTTCATTGTATAATCTCTCTAATCTCTCTCCATATGTCGATATCTCTAATAATCTCTAGTCGCTATAATACTTTTGCCTTGTATGTCAGTGTGGTTGTAAATGCCATCTGTTTACATGCTCATGTCTGCGGGACAGGGTGAGGGCGCACGGCCGCTCTCACGCCAGCTTCCAACACTCGTCAAAAAGCAACTGCTGGAGTCTATTGATAAGGATGACGCGTCTGCTGAGACTGGGACGTCCGCCCCTAGCCTGCCCCCTCCAGCTGCAGCCACCCCCATCCCCCCAATCTATGGTACATCCCACTCCGCTCCCACGAGCCCGGACCCCGGGTGGGCCTCGCCTACACTGACCGACGTCGGATCGGCAGATACGCACGGTACGACAGCGCCACCTGGGAGCAGTGGAGACAGCCGACCGATTTGCCTTCCCTCCCCGTTTACTCCCTGGACGTCTCCTGGGGCAACACCCCGGCCCTCAGAATCCAATCCAGAGTTGAATCACTTGCCCGCGCTCTTGGACGCTGGCCGAACTCACCCGACCGTCCCGGCGCTGCGTTCAGAGTCCAGGCTCTCCCTGCCGGCTCTCGTTGATCGAGATGCCAACCCGCCCCAACGGACCACCTCCTCTCCTAAGTACATTGAAACTCCCCTGGATTTACCGAATCCTGAAGGAATAGAGCTCTCTGTGACTCCGGTAAATAGATCGTACTTCCAGCTGATGTGCCTCTGTACATTCCGGTAGTGCTACCCATTGCTCTAGACTTTGCTACGGCTGTAGTGTGGCTGCGTGTGACTCGTGCTAACAGTGGTGCTGTGGTAATAGCCAGTAGTTCTCTTTGTGATTTGTGCCTGTGGTTTTGGCTAAAGCTAGAGACCAATGTTTTGTCATGTGTCCCCAAAATATGTTATAACCAACATAATTTTAGCGATACATGTCATATGCACATGTGCGTACACGTATTTGTATATATATGTATGTATATATATTTACATCGTTTTCTTTTAATTTACAACTAAGTGATGTGAGTGATGTTTATGGTTTGCCCTTGCTGTGTAGTGTTGTTGCGCTTGTGACTGAGCACGTGTGTATTTTTATCTGCATCTTTAGTGGTCATGTGCAGTTAAAGCCTCAATATGCGCATCTACACGCTAATTTCTCCAGTACTAGACTAGCAAATACTTCGTGACATACATAATCACACTACCTTATGACAAAATAAACTCTAGTTCCTCCCATTTCACTGCGCGTTTGCTTAAAACCCACAAGAAAGAGGTGCGAAATCGGGTAATCTGGCGCCAACGCCGAATTGTTTGCCAAGCAATTTCACCCCGAATCGGTTAGGTGACGTCACATGTTGCTACGGGTGTTGAGCAGAGAATATAGTCGTTTACATTTTAAGATAGTTGTAGTATTGTGAACTGCAGTGTATGTAACATCAATGGCTATTGGAAAAGTAATAATAGGCAGCGTAATAAACTCTGAGAATAACGTATTGATTTTAGGCTTGATATCGCGAACGATAACATTAGCGTGTATATATTATTATATACATATTATATATAGCGCATGTATATTAGCACATATTGTGGCTTTAATGCATTAATGAATCGTTCATCATAACAACAGTCATCCATGCGTTTCTGCATGCCTTCTGCATTTAGGAGAGGCAGAGTAATTAAGAGAGTGAATGGGGGAGCAGGAGGGAGAGGTGGAGGTAGAAGGGAGAGAGGGGTGAAGCGAGGGAGAGAGAGGGGGAGGAAGAGCAAAGACATAGCCAGATCAACACAACTATATGCACACGCAACATAGAAAAAACGTAAGACTGAGACAGGAGGGCTGCAATGATAGACAGACTAAGCAAAAAGAGGAGTAGCTACTTACAGAGAATGATACGTTTAGGAAGTGACTATTTAAAGTTCATATCTTTTGGCGCAGGTCACCACTGGCCTGACACCCTGTGTGACATCATTGTTTGCTGTATGCATGTGTGGTATTCTATTTATAACAGCAGGAGTAACGTGATAGACAGGCTTACTTACTATTATGTCACTCCTGGTGTTTTCACCAACCTACGAATGTTGAGTCTATAATATATTCAGCAGAAATAGGTTCATGCTGTTACGCATTAAATCACATTTATGTATCGTGAGTGCAACTCAGTCTTGTAACTAAATTCAGTTGTTTTATGTATACATCAGCATATATTGCTCAAAGATGGAATACAGGAACTCAGATAGAAATGCTTAATTTCAAAACTTGAATTGGTAATTTCACAAAATGGTAGCAGTAGGATGTTTTGTATCAGGTTTTTCCATACCAGTAATCTGTTTTTTTTGTATCCATTCAGTACATAGCGTGAGTGATGAAATCATTATTACAATAATAAATTGGTTACTATAATTTATGATCTCTTTTATCTTAGAGTACTACCTCACCACCATTCGATAGCCAGAGAGAAAGCACAAAGACTGTAGCAAGGCCAACAACAGGTATCATCTGATTTCGTGTTTCATGCCCAATACCTGGTGATGTTATTTATATATTATGGTTAGGAAACATATTAAGCAAGTATTTAAGTAGTGGGTGCTTATGTGCTGTTGAAAGCGTGAGCATGAGTAGCGGCAGTAGAGGGCATAACGCAGCTTCACAAAAAATGTGAAAGGGAGGACAGTATGACTGTGAGGGGCTGACAAACTGAGGCAGGCAGACAGACAGACAGAAAGAGAGAGAGAGAGATACAAACGAGCACTGGAGCAGGGAGATTGAGACCTTCTATCTAAGCACTTGCTGTTCACCTTTGCTCGGCTCTTGCAGCTGAGAGGACGATCATTGTGAGGCAACTGTCAGCGATGAGACAGCAGCTGGAGGATGAGCAGAAACGTGTACACAGTGCTCTCATCAAAGACGAGGTAATTATATAAAATATCGACACACCCAGCATGTTCCACAAATCATGCACTAGCTCTCTCTCTCTCTCTCTCTCTCTCTCTCTCTCTCTCTCTCTCTCTCTCTCTCTCTCTCTCTCTTCCTCTTTCTTTCTCTCTTGCTCTCTTTCGTGCATTCTTTCTCTCACTTTTTTCTGTCTCTATTTGTGTTTGCTTATCTAAGCTGTCAAGGTTCCCAAGCTGTATGCCAGCATGTCAGCATCTCTGCTGTTTCAGTTAGGAAGATGTATACGTATGTGTCATCATTTACGTAGAAGATGTAACAAATTATGTATCACACTCACACCAGCAAAAAAGATTTAATCAACCCTGCCACGTCGTTCAACACTGGAATGGTACTATCATTAAGAATAAATACACGTATTTCATTGTTACACATACTAGTGATTTGTAAGAGCTACTGCTCCATGTTGTAGCTTGTAGGACGAACAACAGACAGCGACAGTGGGGCGCAGTCCTCTGCTGCCGGTGCCGCCGTATTTGAATCAGCGCTGAGTGGCAAAGGTGTCACGGTGAAACGTCAATCGGCCAAGAAAGGCTCTGCAAAGAAAAACAAACACTCCGATGCTGCAATGAAGAGCACTGGTCCTACAAGCAGCGACAAGGAGAATGATAAGCAACGGACAAGTGTGAATGAACCTGAAAAAGAGGAAACGAGGTGATCGCAGTTGCCCGCATAGATAATTGCTTCAGTGAAGAAATTGTTTCCCCTATATGGTTACTTCATGTTATTCGGTTGTTGCTTAGTTTGATTTTCGTCGTAATTTTATTTTTAAATGAAAATGGAAATAGAAGTGACATTTTTTGAGGAGTCATTATTGCTTTGTGTTTCCATTTTTATGAGGCTTTACATAAATCATTACTGGTATAAACATGTCACTCAGTATACCATTTTTAAATCATTGACCAGTGTTCAATCCACCACATACTAGATCATTACTTGTTAATATTTAATGCTTGTGTGCATGTGAGTGTTTTTAACTCATCTGACATAGTCAGATGCAGTTTGTAGAATCGCATGAGCGTGCGTCCGTCCGGCCGTGCGTCCGTGCGTCCGTCAACAGTTGGGCACAAATCTAAACGGCTCGACGTACGGATTCGAAAGTCGGGACGTGGGGGCGTAATCCGAAAACGAGTTGGGATGTCGAAGGTGAGGGTGGTCAAAGGTCAAGAGGTGTAAAAGAAGGGGGAACATTCCCTCCTTAACTTAAGGTATAAGGAGG